CCACCAGCTGCTGAGCAACGGCGGGCTGGCCAAGCTGGCCAGCAGCCTGCCCGGGCTGGCCCACATCTCCAACCAGGCCGCAGGTGAGAGAGGGAAGGGAAGGGAAGGGAAGGGAAGGGAAGGGAAGGGAAGGGAAGGGAAGGGAAGGGAAGGGAAGGGAAGGGAAGGGAAGAAAAAAGGGAAAGACAGAGGGAAGGAAGGAAAAGGGAGATAGAGGGAAGGGAAGGTGGAAGAAAGAAAGAAAAAAGGGAGAGAGAGGGAAGGGAGGGAGAAGAAAGAAAGGAAGAAAGAGAAGGGGAAGGGAGGAAGAAAGGAAGAAAGAAAAAAAGGGAGAGACAGAGGGAAGGAAGGAAAAGGGAGACAGAGGGAAGGGAGGGTGGAAGAAAGAAAGAAAAAAGGGAGAGAGATAGAAGGGAGGGAGAAGAAAGAAAGGAAGAGAAGGGGAAGGGAGGAAGAAAGAAAAAAAGGGAGAGAGAGAGGGAAGGGAGGGTGAAAGGGAGGGAGGAAGGAAGAAAGAAAAAGGGAGAGAGAAAGGGAAGGGAGGGAGAAGAAAGAAAGGAAGAAAGAAAAAGGGAGAGAGAGAGAGAGGGAAGGGAGGGAGGGAGGAAAGGATGGAGGTGCTGCCGGTGCCTGGAGCTTTTTTCCCCAAGCTTCTCCTGCTCTGGGGGCTGCTCCTTCCCGAGCAGCCCCTCTGAGGGAAGCCCCAGCCCTGTTTGGGGCTGGCCTCCACCACCCCTGTGTCTCAGGGAGGTTTTCTGTGTGCTCTGCAGGCCTGAAGGCCCCGGCCACCATCACGGTGACCCTGCGGGGACAGCCCGGCCGCGTGGGCACCCTGAGCCAGGCGGGGCTGGGCACGGCACAGCCCCAGCTGGAGGAGCAGCCCCAGGGCCCTCAGGTAAGGGGGAGCCTCTCCTGGCTCACCTGGGCAGCTGCTGGCCCTGCCGGGTGTGCCTGTTCCATCTCTGGGGTGTGAGGAGGGGGTGGCAGCAGCCAGGGCGGTGTCACCGTGTCACTGTGTCTGTGCAGGTCTGATTGTCCTTGAGCCCGTGAAATCCTGGGGTGCTCTGGGCTGAAAGGGACCTCACATCCCACCCAGAGCCTTTTTGGGCTTAAAGGGATCTCAAATCCCACCCAGGGCCCTTTTTGGGCTGAAAGGGACCTCACATCCCACCCAGGGCCCTTTTTGGG